CTGTCCTAGATCTGGACGGTAATCACGTCATCGATGAGGACGACTTGCACTTCCTGGAGAAATGGAGCCCTTTACCCTTCCTCACCGCGACTCCCAATCTGAATGCCAAAGACGGAGTCAAGAAGCTCTTGTTACATCGCTACCACCGTCCCGTGAAAGTGTGGCTGGCACCCCAGGGGCCAGAAACTCTGGAGGCGAGCAGTGTATCTGCGTCCTCTCCGAGGCGGCAGCTTCTGGATCGGGATGGCAGCAACCGTGCCGGGCTGAGCCCTGAAGGCAGAGGGTGTTACTGCCTAGGGAAGTTGAGAGCTGGAGCTGATCGCCCCTGCTGCTTTTTTAGAGACTGTATCGGGGCAAAGGGTAGCGATAGTGCAGCTGCTGTACAGCGACCAATCCCGCACAGCTGATCCGCTTCTAGCTTACCCTTACCCTACCTGCAGGGTGGTCTAGCCGGACACTGGCTGAGGGTCTTACGGGTCAAGTCAATAGAAGTAGCGCGAGACGGCGAGCTTTCAATTTGTCTGATCAGCAGTCCTACGAGGATGTAACTGGCATGAGTTCCTCTTCGCCTGCAAGACCTGCGGATTTCACGGCGTGGCTCTAAAGCTTGATGGACTCCGGCATTAATCTTGTACTGGGAGTCGCTCGAGACTCAGGCGATATCCCTGGAGCATGGCGTGCACTGGATGCAGATCTTACGGGGTGCCTGAACTTAACATGGTGCATCGTACGGAACTTCAGTGCTTGATTGGGGGCAGGTACATTACCTTGAAAGAGCTGGACGAAGACAGCTACAACACGCTCATGGAATTTAGGACCATCTTGCAAATTAACAGGCTGAAGCAGGTGCAATTGGAATGCCATGGTCACGGGCTCAAGGAATGGATGAATACCTGCTACTATAACAACAACAACTACAACTACTACTGATGAAGTGTGAAGTCACACAGGCTGGGATAAATATCTCGGACCCGAATCTACAAACTTTTTCGCCTGTTACCTTGCTTCGCGACAATCAGCCATGCAAGAGGCAAAAACTACTACAGCTCTACTACTGCCACTACCGCAACTACCACTCCACCGGACAAAAAAAACACTCCACCGACGCTACCACCGGTACCGCTACTACCACTACTACGACAACTCCTGCTGCTGCTTCTTCTGCGGCTATCTGCTATGCTGCTACTGTCACTGCAGCGATTATTTAAGGTGTGTTTGTGTACACTTCCCTAAAACCGAGTTTGAGCGCCGAAACCCTGGCCTGGATTGTCCGAGTGTGAGCGCCAAAGCCCAAAAGTCCTAAACCCGCAAAGCGAGTGTGAGCGCCGAAACCCGCAAAGCACTTCGACCCTGAGACCTCGTCTGGTTTGTCCGAGTTGCGAGAGTGTAAACCCCCAGCATTGCATGTTGTTGTTTTTGGCATGTCGGCGTTGGAGGACCTGGGCATTGGACGAGTTTGGTTCGGCAAAGGGTGCCTTTTCCGTCTTCGACCGTGATGGATCCAATACTTTGACATTCCAGGACCTGGTGGAATGGGAGAGGGATGAAGGTAATGAAGGGGCCTTAAGACTTCGAGCAGGGTTTGGGGCTATAGCATATTATAGTTATAATAGCTCCTGTTCCAGCATTTCATGTGAGTCGTAAGGGCGTTTCCACTTGTTTTCATGATTCACGGCTAACTTTAATGCTGTAGAATCATAGCCCATGTTGCAGGACAATAGTAAAGTTTTTATGTGGGCGTTGGAGAGGGTTGGAAAAATGCTTCTCAGCCGCGATGCATGGCTTCCTTTTCGGCTTCTCTGAGGTTGTGTGTCAAAACGTTGCCTCCTAAGAGGTGTGGACGTGTGACTCAAAGCAGGTGTCTTTTCACAGTGTGGGTTAATTCGGGACTGTTCATTTGGTTTCTTATTCTGCTGCCGATTCCCAGCTGATGATGGAACAGAGCCTGGGTTCTTATTCTGTTCATTTTCCGCGGCAGTCTTGCATTTCAGATACCTGCTCAGCCGCATGGATTGATATTTGCAGCCTCCAAAAGCCCTCGTCGTAACGTTTGAATCCACGTGCCCACAAATGCAACCTTTTCTGGTACTACTTGCACAGTGATGACTGCAAACAAAGCTGTACACTCTAAATGTACCCAAATGCAGCATACATAAGTGTAACAGTCTTTCTTACTAGAAGATTTTATGTTATGTTCAGTTAGATTGCAAAAGGAGCCTCTGCCTAAACTCCAAATTTAAATGGACCCGAATGCTGGATTTTACAGTAGTTGCAGTCCGAAAAGAACAGCACATCGAACAAAGTTAAAAATGACGAATCCCCGGCCTCCCGTGGCACCAGCCAGCTGTTTGAGCCTGTCTCCAAGAGGCGTGGCCATCAGTGTGTGCTGTTCGGGCTGGTCTAGAGGATGTCTGTGCTAGTGCCCTGACCTGCCGAGTGCGGGCGTCGGAGAGGGTTGGAAAAAAATTCCCAAACTAGTTCCGGGCTCCTTAGACGGTCTCGCCAGGAGTTCCGGGCGGCGTGTAAGATCTATGGCTACGAGGACCGCGGGGGCCGGTAGCTCTACAGCATGTCCATGAACCAGAAGTCAAGCTGGAGCTGCAGGGCCATGCAAAGAAGCTTTTCTCAGCCTTGGATGCGACTCTGATGCACTTGAACGCGTCTGAACGTTGCTGTGTTCCATGTTCTCGGCCCAGGTGACAGCCGAGGGCACGCTGTCCTTGAAAGAGGCTTCCTAACTTCTCAAGACCTTGAGTGAGTGTCCGCATGTGACCACCAGGAAAGCCCTGCATGGACGCAGTGATGTGCCTGAGCTCTGAAGCCCGAAACCTGCGAGAAGGTGGCCTTCTTGGATGACTGGCGAGAGGACCCGGAGGCGGTGAAGAAGGCCCCGAAGACTAACATCATCGTCGAACATGAGAGTGTGTGCGCGATACCTGCCACTCTCTGCGAAGGCCCGAAATGCCATCGCGGGCTTTCTTCTGTCTCCCATCAGCCCACGACGCTCATCAGCACCTACGGAGTCAGCCTGCGTCAAAGTGCTATCTTATCTGCCACACTGCATTCTGCGGAGGCTCTGAGGCTGCAAGACGAGGAGGAATGGTTGCAGGCTTCCAGAACGTCCCTCGCTGACTCCTTTCACGTGCCCCATGTTTAAAGTACATAGCTTGGCCACGTGCTTCATGAGGTTAAGGAGATGCAGCGGAAGTTGCTGGACATGGAACGTGCTAAAGAAGCTGCAATGCAGTGGCATTCACCGGCTCCTTGCCTTGCTCGAGCCGTCCACGAGACTGGAGTGGCCTTCCACTTCCCACGGCTCAGGTGGCGAAGCCGATGGAGCTTGTGGACCTGTGCAGGAGATCGTTTTGAGCTTGTCCAAGACAATGAAGGGCACGGCTGTCTTGCAGTGCTGGTGGAGGAAACATGCCATGCCTTCCGAAGACGTGCGCTGCCGAGACCATGGACCCAGCGCTCCTTTCGTGGAACCCTCGCGCGTGCCAGGCGGGATCAAGCCCATCGCCAGCACCGCCATCACCGAGGCTGCTCCGTCCTTTTCTATCTCCCATGGCCATGCAGACCTGCCCAGGTGGAGTGTCAGGGCCGGAGCAGTTCCTCGTTTGGAGGGCCCAGACTTTTGCCGTCAGTTCTTCGTGAGGCCTGCCGCACTGCATTGTCACATCCCTGTCTCAGAGTTCCTTTGCCTTTTGCCAAGGCAGGCGGAGGCCCGAAGCCAGGAGGCGCTACGCACGAAGAGCCTTCCGAAGTTGCTACCGGAGGGGGGGGGAGAACGGTTTGGTTCAAGGTGAGGTTGCCCGATCGCAGAGTGCTGTACTCAAAGGCAAAGGCCCCAGCACAGCTTGCAGAAGGCTGTCCTTACTTGGACCTGATTCCGCAGGCTACCGGCAAGGTGCCCGCCCACCTTCCTGCGATTGCACCGCCTCAGGCTCACACTGTGACTTGGGAAGGGGCAGCTGCCATCCCTTTCGAGCCTTCGCCAGGACGCCGCACCCAAGGAAGCCCACGCCCAGGATATTCAGGAGGAGCCGAAGGAGACCCAGACTTCCGCCGAAGCCGAGGTTGTCCTTCGACAAAGAAGGTCTGCCTGGGGGGTGGGGGATTGTGTTGAGAGGCAGCAGAGGTGGTGGAGAAAATGGAGCACCTTCCGCAGCCGCTGCTGAAGCCAACCTTGGACGAGCTCTTGCCAGCTGCCGCAGTTTTCAGCCTTCCCATGCCTTTTCACGAATCGCTCGTCCGACATCTTCGCTCATTGCGCGAACTCCTGAGGCGAACGCCGCGATCCTTTTCGGGGTTGCTGTCATCGATGCCGTGGCAAGGTTCCATCATCGGGAGATCGCTGCCAGACTTGCAAGCAAGAGACTTTGTGACCTTGGTCAGGCAAGTGCGCCTGCAGCTGAGTACATAAGATCCGAAAGCATGCCTCACCGATGTAGCAGCTGATCGACTGTCTGCAAGAAGGTCAGGCCCGTCGGCAAAGCCAACAAGCTGCGAGCAGTGCTCAGATAGTAAGTCGGTATTCTGCCGCATGCCAGTCTGTCAACACAAGTCACCCTAAGGAGCCTTGCCTAAAGTCGTGCAGTGACTGGCCAAAGTCCCACTCGGGGAAGTCACATTCAGCAACGAAGTTGCGCGAAGAAGATTTATGGAATAGATCCTGGAGCAGGCTATGCCTGGCCAAGCCACGAATGGCCTTCTCTGGGAGTTGGCGGCTTTACAACTTGTGAAGTCGTGCAGGCGTAGCTTAATTGACGTCGACGTGTTTCGGCAGACATGCGAAATGATCTATATTTTAACTTCGGGGACAGGGCTGCTTTGCAGTGGCCGTTTGCACTCTTGCCTTGACTTCTCTTGCACATGTTTCGGCTGCTCGTAGCATTGTCACCTCCTGAGCGCAAGGCAGGCTCGGTCTGCAACCCACACAGCGCAGTGCATGTGCAAGCATGTTGAAGCTGAGAGGTGCGCCCGGGATAGTATTTGGTGAGATGGACAGCGATTCAGGCTGGAGGAAGGCTCGAAACTTTTTCCCTTTCGCTGGGTGCCGGTCAAACTGTTGTTGTGGATTGAGCGGGATGCAGCGAAGGCACTCTTCCTCGCAGGCGGCACTGTGGCAGCCGCGGGACTGTTATGGCATCTTGGCCGTACTTGCAGACTGGCGCAGGGGTAAATCCGTTAGCGCATTAAATGAACAAGTCGTTGCGTCGGTGCTGCGTGGCGGATCTGTCCGGAAGCGTGTTTCGCGTCGTGTGGCCATGCTTCTTCAGCGGCAAGCATTCGTGGATTCTCGAGCGTTTGGGCGGGTCTTGCTGCTTTGCCTGCCGCCCGCGTCCCTGTTATCTTCCTGCAGTCTGGTTGCATATGCGTGTGTTTGTTTCAGGGCTTCGTTCGGAGAGTTTCCTGAGTAGACGGTGTCCTTCCCCGGGCGTCTGTTTTGTGCTGGCTCGTTCTCTTGTGCGGAAGGCTCAACTCAAGGCTTCGTACCTTGTTGCACGTTTGCCAGGCCCTGCCAGGAGATCCAAACACTAGATGCCCTGCTTCTGCCAACTGGCCTCTCACCAACAGCCAGACGGCATGGATGACAGGACAGTTAGGCGGCAGACATTTTGGGACAGCCCTAGGTACCTGTTCCATGATGGCGAGGAGGAGGTGCGGGCAGACGGGGCACATGAAGAGCCGTAAGTTCTGATGGGACTCCGTCGGAGGCTTCGGCCAGTTCGACAGATGTGCTGTTTTACCGCGCCGGCAGCCGAGCGACGCCGAGCGACTCAGGGCCTGAGAGGGGTTTTGAAGCCTCCGCGCTGAGGTGACCGACCCGAAGGGCGCTTCCATCGGCATTCGAGAGGAGCCGGGGCCCGAGCTCTTCGAAGTCGGCTCTCTGCTCACTTTCACTTTGAATCTTGAGAGGCCCGACGTGAAGTCGACCCGGACAGGCAGGCAGCTGCTTCCCCACCAGGTGCGACAGTGTCAGTGTTTGGAGCGACAAACAAACAAAAGCGTTTCTGCCATGTAGGTCTTCCAGGTGTCCGAGGTGAGGGAGGCGTGGGACAGCCATCTGTCACCGAACACCGGACGACTGCAAGGAACGAAGTGTTCCGCTCGGTAGGATGGCGAGCAGACATACCTCCGGCTTGCTGATGGTCGGGGGTGGGTTCGGGCCCTTCGCGGCTCGGTCTCTGCCGTCAGTTTCCGGCTGTTAAAGCAGAGGCCTTCACCCACAGCTCCAAAGATGGGCGGCTGCTGTGCGAAAAGATCAGCCAGGAAGAGGCCCGGGAGCAAGAGCCGAGCCGAAATAGGAAGAGGGCTTTGGACACGGTTCGACGAGGCCATCCAAGAGCTGGAGCAGTCTCAACCTACCAGCAGCTTCGCCAGTTTTCTGGGGTGCTTGAGCTTCGCGTTGCAGGTTTGTCCTGCTGGCATGTGCAAAGGCAGAGAGATGATGGCGCAGATGCAGTACTTAATGGAGACCCAACCTGCGTGGCACTTGGAGTTTTGTCGGGGTGCCTCTAATGTTTTGATTCTGCCTCTGGCTTGACATGTTGGCATGCTCTGGAGCCTCTTCGTGCTGTTTAGCTTCACGATGCACGAACTGCACTTCTTGGGACGACGCGCGCCGTGCAGGAATTGCGGGAACAAATCATGGCCTCGCCAGAAGTGTATTTCTGGCCTGTGTTCTCGAGTCACTTGAATGACATGTAGTCGCTAAGCCGACAGGCAGCAGATGATGATGAATCCAGAAATGCTCCAGTTCGCCGTGCCTCGTCGATTTGGTTCTTGAATGCGTTGTGGGGGGGGGGGCAGGGCGGGCAAACAAATGAGCAGGCTCAGCAACACCCAATGGCCGCAGAGGCACGGCAGTCTTTTGCGAATGACCGAGTGTGGCCGCCTTGTTAGTTTTGTTTACGCCGAAGCTACCCCAAATGCAGGCATTGAAAGAGCAACAGCAATTGCATCAAGTCCTTTGGCTCATTAAACCTGGCAGCATTTGCAGCGTTGGTATTGCCCTTGCTTACGCAGCAGAGGCACTGGGTGCAGCCCTGTGCTCAGTGTTGTATAAGCTTTGTAAATTTCTCGGACGTCAGATTTAAAGTCGCGGCGGCCATGGGGCCGACACTGGCAGCCGAGGATCCGCAGGCTTTGGCGGAAGCACTCAGAGCAGCGCAAGCTTCAGCCTCAGAGTCAGCTCGGGCTGCTTCCTATCTTTCACAATCGGCTAGCAGCTAGCACCTGCAAGACACAGCAGAGATTGGGTGTCATTTTCGTCGGATCTTCGACCGTGCAATTGAGTCGTGTCTCAAAGGCGAGATGAGAGGCATCGTCATCTGGAGCAGTCGTTCTGCTCTCAGTCTTCCTTCGAAGTAGAGACGAACGAGCATTCTTGGCGATGTGATCTTTGTCGTTCAGAATCAGTTTAATTTCCTGGCAACAGTCCGTGTTGCAACAGAGCAGCCAGCTTTCATGGCCAAGGTTGTGCTGCTTCTGAATACCGCGAAGTAGGACCAGGTAGGTGCCGTGTCGACATGGCACTTGAAGCTCGTTAGATAAAGACGCTGAGAGGTTGCGATGACGGTGTTGTTCTTGCGCGTTGAGCCTTCTAGCAGCCTTGCATATCAACCGCGAACTTGTCAAATGCTGACATCCCTGCACGTTTGCCGTGTATTGTGCAAAACCTAGACTGCCTGTAGAGAACACGGGCCGTAGCCGCATCCAAGAACACTGCGCTCATGGCAGAGCCTGCGGCTAAGAAGCAAAAGACCGAAGAAGGAGCGGTCGAAGCAACCGAGGAGAAGAAAGAGGAAGCCGAGGAAGAGCTGGAGAAAGATGCCGTGGCCTTGAAGGGGGCCAAGTTGAAGGACAAGATCACTTTCCTCACACAGGACACCACCTTGAATGTCGTCCTGTCATCCAACAGCTCGTTACTGTTGCCTTTGTCTGACGGCGGAGTCAGGCACCTTCTGGCAGGTGCGAGAAGCAATGTTGGGCTGAAGGCCGGCCGCTACATGTTCGAGGCCAAAATCGTGGAACAGGTTTCCAGGGCGGAGGAGAGCAACAAGCCACACCCCAAGTTTGTGCTTCGCGTTGGCTTCTCAACAGCTGCCTCATCGCCGCTCATGGGCAATGATGAGACGAGTGTTTGTTTCGACATGGAGGGCTTTATGATGCACAACAAGGAGAAGACATCGCTGGGCATGGGTGCCAGATACGGCAAGGGCAGCATTGTAGCCGTGGTGTTGAATCTGGAGAAGGGGTCTCCCAACCACAACACCATCAGCCTCTTCAGGGATGGCAAGCGGGTTACGAAGCCACAGGCGTTGCCTTCTGCTCTTCAAGGCAAGCCCTTATATCCCACGGTGACGTACCGCAACCTTGCGGTAGCCCTTTCCTTCGGCCCACAGCCTCAGGCTCCCCTGCCCTTCACTTGCCACATGCCGCAACTTGCGACTGCGACGCAAGCCACGCTGACGGAAGCGGAGAAAGAGACGGAGTATGAAGTACTCTTTCCCATTTGTCTGCCGGACCAAGGAGGTTTCGATTGGTTGGATTCCTTCAAGAAGAAGAATCCCAAGTACACGGAAATCTCCGACCGCATGCTGCTAGACTGGGCTGAGAAGAGTGGGATCTATGCCCCCAAAGGCGTGGGCAGCAACGATAAGCCAGACCTTCGCTTCGGCATCCCGGAGATGGACGACATGAGCATTCGGCGGATGATCCAGTCCATCGCCCCGCTCCAGAAGCGAAACTACATCGTCATGGAGGCCAGGCAACATGCTCCAAGCCAGGTAGGCAGCTTAAGAACTCTGGCAGCTTGTGAGAAGCTGACGTCGATGTTCATCTAGGCCTGAAGATGTGATGGCGGCTCCTGCGGCCATGCTGCTTCTAGATGTGCTGGCACTGGTAAAGATGAAGATGAATCTGAAGCAAGAGTGGACGGGGCCATGGTTGCCGCTGTTTGGTTGGTGTTACCCATGCAACAGTTCAGCTTACATGCTTTATGAATGTTCAGCTGCATGTTCCCATCATCTTAAGACTCGGCAGAGTCATTGACATCTCCTATTTGTCATGGGTGCTCGCTGCTGGCAACACCTTCAGTTCCGTTGCTGTGACTGTTGCTCAGTATCTTCTTCCTCCTGCTCTTGTCCTCTAGCCTCATGATCTCCGGCTATTGACCCTAAACCCTAAACCCGTGTCTGCAGGTCCGTGGGAACCTGATCAAGGAGACCAGGGCCGACGCCTTGAGCACTTACTTTGACAGCTGCTACAAAAAGGTGGCCAAGGTCGTCGTCGGCGACGCTTCCAAAGACTTCGTGAAGATGAGCCAGGAGTTGGGGACCTTATGGGGATATCCCTACAATATTGGGCTTCATTATACGGGGGTTCAAAATAATGTGGGATATCATGATATCCATATCCTATTTTTTTTTGCTTGTCTGCTTGTTTGGGGCCCTACCAGGAGCTCATGCTGGCGGAGAAGCAGGAGCAGTCCGACAAAGAGTTCAAGATGAAGAAGGAAGAGGCGGCCAGGAAGAAGGCAGCCGAGAAGAAGATGAAGGAGATCGAGAAAGCAAAGAAAAAGGCGGAGAAGGAGCGCCAGAAGAAGCTTGAGGAGATGAAGAAAGCCGCTGAGAAGGCAGACACATGAGTGAGTGTGCTCCTGTTTTCTGTTCTGGGTCAGATGCTTGTGCAGTTGTCTCGTCGTAGAAGATTGTTACACCCTGCGCCCTTCCCGCCCTGCATTGCAACTTGTACCAATGTTGTTCCATTCGCGTGCGCCAGGCCAAGAAGGAAGCGGAGCGAAAGAAGGCAGAGGCCGAAGGACAAGAGGTCCCCGAGGAAGAGGAGGAGGAGAAAGACGTGGAAATGGACGAGGATGAGGAAGAGGAGGAAGAAGAGGCTGAGGAGGTGGACGAGGAGCCACCAAAGGCGGAACTCACACCAGAGGAGAAGAAAATGAAGTTCCGCAAGACGGCATTGCCCGACGTCGCTTCGAGCCTCTTGAACCGATGCTTCACCAAGTTCACGGTCCCTGACCTGGAGGAGGGCTTCGATGACATCTCATATGAGTGGAGCCAGGGTGGCAAAGCCGGCGAGTATGTGACCAAGTGGATCAAGGAAAAGAAACTCACCAGCCGGGTGGAGGACCTTACCCCCTCTGTGTGGTTCAAGACCAAAGCGAGTGCATGGCAGAAGGTCCTCTCGCAGTGGCAGGCCAAGGTGCCGGAGTACAAGAGTAAGCTGGTGAAGAAGGCTCAGGCCAAGCAAGCGAAGGAGAACAAGAAGAAGATGGCCGAAGCGAAGGCGGCAGCAGAAAAGGCAAAGAAGGAGGCCGAGAAGGCAGAGAAGGAGGCCAAGGAAGAGGAGAAAGACGAGGAAGTCAAGGAGGAGGAGGAGAAGGCCGAACCAATGGAAGTCGAAGAGGAGGAGGAGGAAGAGGAGGAAGAGGCTGACTTCGAGGGCGTCGACATTTTTGGTGTAGAGGAGGTCGACGACATTGGTGGCGGCATGCCTTTGTACAAGGAGTTTGCCCATGAGGACTGGGCCCTCATGTCCCTGAGCTTTGAACTCCACTTGATGGCCCATGCATTCAAGAAGGATTGCGACGATCCGGACAGGAAAGGGATCGTCCTGGAACACTTGGCCTTCTACTATCAGAAGTACTATGGGAAGCAGCTGAACCTGAAGAGCTACGGGATTGAAAACGAAGCGCAGCTGGTGGATTTAGCCAAGGACTGTGTTTTCATCAACAAGGACAAGGTCCTCGAGTCCCTGCTGGATGAGGAAATCGAATACCCCCAGGTCTTCGTGAAGATCGCGGAGGAGGGTAGAAGACACAGAGCTCTGCTCGTCGACATGGGTGATGAGTCAGCGAAGCTGAAAATCACCCACGCCGTCTCCTCCCACCACCATAAGGGTGGAAATTATGGTGGTGGAAAGGATTCCGGAAAGGGCATGAAAGGCCACAGCAAAGGCTACGGCAAGGGAATCATGCCAGTTGGTCCTATTGGCATGGGTCCCATGCAGCAAGGCATGGGCGCGCCTATGGCTGGTATGGCTCCCATGGCTCCCATGGGCAACATGGGCAAAGGCAAGGACTTCGGAAAAGGCTACGGCCACATGCCCTTTGGCAAGGGTGGCAAAGGCTGGAAGGGCAAGTGACTTTAGTTGTCAGCCCCCACGGCCGAACAAGAGTGAGCCCAAACGAAGATTGGGCAGCGGGCATGTGCAATGCATTTTGTGTAACCCGAAGTCTAAGCGCCTTTCTCATAGCGTAGCCGCATGGCACCAAAGAACTCCACGGCTACCAAGCAAGGTTAAGTGCGGTAAGAATGCCAACATGGCTCAGTTGCTGAGCCCAGGTTCATGCACAGCACCCACCTCCGTGATGTTTACCTGGCATGCCAGAAAGGCATTGACGATAAGCTGCAACTTATCATTTATCCATACGGTGTGTATGGTGGAGGTGGGGTTGCTCCCCCAGACGTATCAGCTGCGCATTGCGCTGGAAGTGTTTGACGTCACGCACTCGTGGAGTGACACAGATTGCAGCTTGTTCTCTTGTTCTGTGGCAGCAGTTCTCCTTGGTGGGTGGTGGGGAATTAGTGGTGCTCGGAGTGGTCGTTAGCCGATGACTAATTGCCACGGCTGCTACTTTGCTTCGTAGCAGTCACTTGGCATCTGGTTTTGCGATCGCTATCAGAACTTGGTAGTGCAACTCGGTGAATGTGATTGCTGACGTCTGACGATCAAGCCACGAGGTGGCACTTTGCGAGGTGCTCCTCGCCTTGACCATGAGCCATGACAATGACAGCAACAGCAGCCCCACAAAGAGAGCTATCGGCAACAGCAGCAGCGACCGCAGCCACAACAAGATTTACGCTGGGTATCAACAACTGACAACATCATCATAGTCGTCATCGTATATATATATATATATATATTCGGTAACTGTCGTCATCGTCCTCATCACTGGCCTGTAGTTAGGTGCCGTCGCAGGTGTAGCTGGAACGTCGGGAAGGGTTTAGGATCAAGGCAGACCCAATCAGCGTGAGTAAACACACTCGTGAACACTTCAGCATGAAAGTGTCTAATATTTATAAGATGGGTCCAGAGGGTCTATTGCAGCATTTAGACTCCTTAAAGTCGAAGTCCATGTCAGGTGTTGTCCTAGCACTTTGGACAACATGGGGTCAAGCTAGTGCAAGCTATCATTGCTTGCGGATGCCATGGACTCCACTCCCACGAGAACTGAAGGTTCACAGGGAAGGATGGGCGACTTTACAGCCAGTAAATGTCTGTCATATGTTTGCATCCGTTTCATTATTTAGGGAAGGACCCCTCGTTGTGAACACCTGTCGTTCCACGCGCTCGGGGGCCTCAGGTGCATTGCTTGCGACTGCTGCACGCCAGTGACGTGCTGGCCTGCGGTGGTCAGGATCTCAAGCCCAGAGTATCAGCTGTCGCGCTGTTGTGCTTTATGACAGTCTCGGGGGGCCTGTAATTGTTCTTACTCAGGCTCGTGCCGAGTGGACTTTGCCGCCGTAGATGCTGAGGCAGAACTACAAGCAAATCGCTGCTTGCATTGTCCTAGATGTCACGGCCGGGTTGCGTGGATGAAGGAGCTGTGGGCGCTCCTGTTCCATCGTGACTGGCGCTGGCTTTGTGCCGATGGACCGTGCAGCTGCAGTTCTTCAAGGTGTTTACGCAGTGGAGTGCGTGCTATTCCGGCTATCCCCAAAAAGGCATGAAACCCCGCAGAACCCTTACAGCAGCTTTATGAGCCTCGTTGGTTCTCAGTCTTGGAAGGCAGAGCCACCGCAGACTTTCAGAGAAGGTCGGCAGCTGCCGTGCTGCCTTCGTGGTGGCGTCCTCAACAGAAGCCAGCAAAGATCCTGTCCATAACCTTCAAGGCACCCCGAAGTTTAGCAAAGCTCTGATGCCCATAACATGTCACATTTGCCAGCATGCAAATGTTCGGTCGGTGAGGTGCTTGGCGGATGTGTGCGGAGAGATGACGGGGGACGTCACGAAGATGGAGTGGCCACCAGCATGCATGAGAGTGCCGAGGGCTTTTCTTCGGGTTTCAGGGTTCAAAGATGTCAGATGTCAGGGGATTGAAGCTTTAGGCTTGTTGAATCTAGTTCATATAGGGGCCGTACGAATTATCTATACTATTTTTGGGGCTCCTTATTGAACTTATAGGATAATGGGCCCCAAAACCCTGTTCTAATTACTAAGGCCCCTCTATTAGGTTTTGGGTCTCAAAGGATGCGGCTGGCCCAGGATGTCGGAGCTTTGAGCACACTTGTGACTTCCGAAGGGAATGTTCCTTGAAAACGCTGCGTTGCATGATTGAGTCTGCCTCCAACCCAAAGCGTCCTAAGGAGGCTCTGTAGACTTTTCCTTTCGTTTTTGTCTGTTTGTTCAGCTTCTCCTTGCATGTCAATTTTTTCCGCCCGGAAGTGCTGCTTCATCCAGGCATTGACCAAACCTTGCTGGGCAACATCTATGTGCAAAAACCCATACTTCGTCCCAGTATCAGAAGCAAGACTGCCGCCTCAGAAACTCACTCAAGACAGCAGAAGCTGCCTCGTGAGCTAGAGGAGCAAAAGGCCTGGAGTTCAATCCTCCTTCGGAGTCGACATTTAGTTTCAATCTGCTCTCCCGTCTATCGAAGCAATCCGTGTGAAGTTTCATTCCAACGAGCTCACGCGGCCGCTAAAATCTGCAAGTCCTGCGAGACGCAACAGTTGGCTTCCAAGCAGCCCAGACTCCCAGACACACTTCCAGTAATTACCGGTACCGCGCGCGCTTCGTAGTTCTGAAAGCTCGGCTGCCGCTTCCGAGCATTCTCATCTGAGCTTTCATCGAGCAGCTGCCTCCGGCCTGTGTCCAAGAAATGTGAGGGGCGAATGATGCCACATGCAGACTCTGCGGATCTTGGGCTTTCGCGTGACAACCAAAACGACAACGCCCAAAGTCTTGTCGAAGTCCCCCCCCAGACGTGCCTCCCGCCAACCTGACATGTCTTGGCGCACCCGCAAGCAAGAACAAGAGTGATGCGGTGTAGAGTAACAGTGCAGTATAGTGCAGCTTGTTTTGTGGGGGTTCGTGTCTGAACTTTTGGAATGGGAAGGATCTCTTGCTAGTGCCTGTGGCTTGTCGGAGAATGTGGGAGAAGTTTCTTGCACGGTTTGCCTCAGGTGCTCTCAGTGCTGTCCGCCGATGACACCAAGGCGAAGCAGTCTTCATGAACTCTCTTTGGGTGCTAGTGATACTGCTGTCGGTATTTGCAAGCCGCTTTGCTCGTGTCGACTTCATGGCGTGGGAACGTCCGCAGCGAATGCTTGTGTGCTTTCAGGCTTCCCCCAACATCGGGACCCTCAAGTGCTACTCCTACTCAGTCCTACTCGGGTGTAAGATTCCCATGCCGAGGCAGTAGGAAGGTTTCCTCGCAAATCTTCCATGGCTTCGAGATCTTCCCACATGTCCAATGGGGGGGGGGGGACGGACTAGAACAGACTATCAACTGCAAGAAGTATGACCTTAGCAGGATCCTGACCCCACGAAGAGGGATCGCTTCTTTTCCGAACCCCCCCCCCCCCATGTTCGCATTCTCCAGCCATGGCAGCGCTGCGGAGAGTGAGACCAGCGCTGACGAGTCAAGTGATGTCAGCTCAGTGAGCGATGATGACGCGTTGGTGCTGGAAGGTGACGGTTGGGGACAACATGTGAGCTGAGATTTGTTAGATTATCTTTAGGAACTTTAGGCCATCACAAGGTTGATGCAGCATTCCCTGCCATTCCTTGCCAGAAGTGGACGTGGACGGCTCCGCGGGCCAAAATGCGCTGGCGATACCAGAAGCAACCGCTCACTTTGACGTCAGCCACTGGCCCAGTTTGATTTGTGTTTTTTTTTTCTGAGGGGGGGGGGGGGGCGGCGGGCCCTGTGTCCAGCATCCTGTCATTTTGGGGCCCCGCTCCTCCTCCGAGGTGGGGTTGGTGTCAAGCCGGGCAGCCCTCCCAAGTGGAGAGACCTGACCAGGATTTTGCTGCCAGGCGACACTTGGCTGAATGGAGACGGACTTAGTAGTGTTGTCTCTTGCCAGAAGTCGATTCATGCTGAGGACGTTGTGAATATTTTGGGTGGCAATGCCTTGTGCTCAGACAGAGTTAGGGCAGGCCCCGTGGCTGACACGTGGGATGAGAGGCGTCTTGTTGCAGCGAGAGTCGCACTAGGTGTGGGGTCATTGTGGCCTCGTGACGAAGGCGATCGAGGCCGAACTGGGAATGAGAGAACACGTCCGTGTAGGAAGTCTTGTGTCGTCGCGGACCAGGAACCTGGTAGTAGAGTAGGTAACCTTTAACCATGTTTGGGTAGTTAGCCCGTATATCATCCCTTTATAACCAAAAAGGTTGACCTTTAGTTCCCCATGATACCCGACAAGTAGGGGAATAAACCCGGTGTAAAGATCGGCACCCCTTCGTATCCATTTCTCTTTCACTACTCAATGCCCCCTTGCGCGAGGTCTACCAGTTTCCGGTTCTGTTTGCCAAAGGCCCAGCGAACGGAAAGGCAGGGCCCAAGGGATGTCGGGGGTTGCTCTACCTCTGAAGCACCTACTTGCTTTTTCGGTCGCCTCACTCGCTCGAAACCCAGTTCCGGAAGAAGTGCTTCGAAGCATCGAGGACCAGGGGGGCCCAATCTCCGTGGTGGAGCTTGACTTTCGGGTGGACGTTTTCATGCAGCTTCGATGCAGCTTGCTTCGGCCGCCATCTGCATGAGTGCTCGCTCAGTGGGACGTCTCCAGTCTAGCTGAAGGTTTAGTGGAGTCGGAGATCCTGCTGTCTCCCTCCCTTCTTGATTTTGAATCCGACTGTGCAACTTAGACTTGAAGTGCTGCAGAGTGCGTCGAATATGCCGACGAGTCCTGGCTGCAGAGAGGGGATGAGGCATCTTGAGTCAGCTCGGAGGCCCGGACCGTGATGCCCTTGCCAGTTGAGGATCTTCCTCTCACAAATCGGGGTCGTTGTCCATCCCAACACCAGGGACGTCTGCATGGTCCGCAGAGTGCGGGGAGGGGTGGCCTGGCCTCGCAACAGCAAGAGTCGCATGCATGAGTGCATCCCTGGGTCTCATTGTCAATCGTGAGCCCTGAGGTTTTGTTGAGAAACAGCCATTCCGGCGAGCCCTTGATTGTGCAGTGCCTGAGCTTGCAGCCAGCCGTCAGCCGACCAAACACCGAAACAACCTTCTAATGCTGCAATCTCTTTTTACCTACGGAGGAGATCAGTTCCTGAGCTCCCCCCGTGGTCTCCTACCCGAGGATCTTGCTCTCGCCCTTTAACGAGCTGACGCTGGACAGGCCCCGAGAGCGCTTGAGCTTTCAGGAGTTAGTCAGGCCTTCAGAGATCATCGCAGACAGTGACAGGCAAGGAGCCAGGTACTCGTATGATATCTTCAGACAAAGTTATCCAGGAATCCAGAGTTTTCGACGCAGGTCGCTGCTGGCCCAGTCGATCTCCGAAGTCATGTCAGCTCCCGAGACGCGCTGGAGCCCAACGACGGCAGTGCGGGCGTTTTTTCGCCACTTGGAAGGCAAATTCAATTGTGCACGGAGTCGGGCCGTTCTGCGAGTTGAAAGGGCTCCTTGCAGCTTGCAAGGTCATGCGCATCTGAAGCCGTCGAGGCAAGCAAACGTGACAGCTTTGGGTTCCCCTTCACTTCAAGCGTCCGGAGCCAAGTACGTGTCCCCAGCGCCATTCGCTGTGGCCTTGGAGGTACGGGAGGCGAAACCGTCGCCGGCGACTCGCCCCGGGCTCGGGCTTAGGATCTCTTTTTTGTTGCAGCTTTCATTCGGTATTCTTTTTGTTAATTTGCTCAGTTGCGAGGCTGCTCAGTTGCAGCACGGCTGGCTGGTTCGGCCTGTCTGCTCCACAGTCCCGCCGCGAGTGTGGCAAAAGTACTTGCCACTGGGCGCGAGCGTTGAAAGGGCCAATACAAGAATTGCTAATAGGTGCTCATCTAAGACTAAGAGAATCTCGGATTCTTATCCCTGCTGCAAATGAGGTTCAAGCGAAGCCAACTCCACAGGAAGCCTCTGCCTTCTCACAACGATGAGGGCGCTGAGGCAGACGTGTGGGTCAGTTGGGACGAAGCTGCCAAGGCAGTCGCTGCTTCATGTCAGGTAGCTCGAGGTATGCGGTCCGGATCCCACATGCTTTTTTGTGGTCGCAACTTGGCAGAAAGAAGTTTCCAAGCGTTGGCTGCAAAGTGAAGAAATGCCGAAAGCTCCTAGAAGATCAAACGCTTCCAAGGCGACTGCGCAGTCGAGGAGGAGGAGTCCTTTTGCTGCCCTAGCTGCTCCTGGGCACTTGTTACGACACTCGAGGGCTTCGGAATTGTGTGAGTTCTCTATGTCTCAGAGAACCGAGGGAATACACCAACACGGCAGTGTGGACCGCTCAAAGGCTCGTGGGCTTGTTACTCGAGTCTTGCTGCTGTTTCTGGGAGGTTTAAGCCTAAGCGCGGCCTCTCTCCCAATGTAAGTTGCCTCTTGCAGGCCGTCAGTGCCCCTCTTGCCTTCGCACCCAGTGGGCGCTGCCCTCGGACGATGCCGATCCGCAGGTTGCCTTTGCAGAGGACCGGCCTGTGATTTTGGGCCGCTTTCCGCTCTTTTTTGGGGCCATGGGGGGCCGTGGGGGGCTTGCAGGACGTCCTGCGCATGGTTCCGGTAAAGGATGACCGCGTTCTGCCGGAAGAGCTGGTCACCAACCTCCTGGCGACAGGCCCGATCTTGGGGCAGCTTTGGCCGAAAAATGTTGGATTGCGTGCTCAGGCGTGTGGACGCAGGTCAACCTGGACGATCCGTTGCCTTTCCATCGACAGTCGGCGAGTGCTGGCGATGAAGTGCGACAACTCCGATTAGCGACGATCTAGTCCGCAAGCTGGCGAAATGCCGCTTTCGGAAGCGTTTATAAGTAGACCCAGTGCTACAACCAGAGCTGGGACGGTTTCAGTGTCTGGCAAGGTCGGCTGTGTGGCGAAGTTTCAGCACGATTTCAAGCCTATCCGACGGCATAACTTCAAACGCTCCCCCGGATTGGCTTTGTCTCTGGGCTGAGCTTCTTCCGGCCTCTTTCCGGGCCGTCTCTTGGTCTCGTCTGGACAGGACTTTCGATTTCATGTCCGCGAGACTATTCCCAAGGCACTTTTGAAAGATGAGAGTGCTTCCGTTCTCTAGGTCTGTAGTGACATGGAGCTGTCTTTAAATTGAGCTTCGTGAAGGGCCGACGCTGAGAAGCTATGCATGTGTGATTCCTCGAAGTAGCTTGGGGAGCGAACGGGAGCGGTGATGCAACCTTGTCGACTGGTCTGATGCATGCGAGAGGGATCTGCACCAAACACCACCGCAGCACATTGAGAAGCCAAACTGAGTAGTCTTGAGCAATACTGACGACTCGTGTCATCACAATGATCCGTGGCTTTGTCTTCGTGCTGGTGTGGTCTCAGGCTGCAGCCGGACCCCTGAGTGGTCTGTTGGCAAGCCTGACCGGTCATGACAATGCGACCTGCGCTGACACCCATCACGCTTGCGCTACGAGCTTTGCTGCCTTCTTCCCGGAGACCGCAGCCACGCATGCGACGGAGCACTTCTTGCCAGACATCTCGAGCTCCTCAGTGGCAGATGCAAGCGCCGCACACCACGATGGGCACATGGATCAGTTCGACTCCTCTTCCTTGTTGACCGGTCGACGTCCCCGGATGTTCGTGAGCTTCGAGAAGAAGTGATGCGGCTGTGTGGCTACTCTCGAAGAACTTCTGGTGAGTGCAATTGCTGCTAGGCTGTGAGAATCAAGCTCAAGCCACAAGTCAGGCAGAGAGCGCTCGCATGCAGAGAACCATCTCATGCTAGCGCCAGCGCTGCTTTCGCCAGTTGTGCATAGCCAATTGCAACCGAGGACTGTGTATTAGTGTGTCGTAAGGTGAGGCGATTTCACCGAAGGGTAGCTCGTTATGGTGTTTCTAGTTCCACATTACCGAGCTGACAGGCATCTCGGGCGGTTGTTGCGAAACGACTCTGATGCATTCTAAGGCAATCGGAACAAGGACTTGTCGACCAGAGCTGCATGCGTGAGCAGTTGCATGCGCGAGCAGTTGAGGAGCAATATCCCAGACTAGATCACGAATAGCTGCAAGGCCTCCAGGCATTTCATTTTCCGCAGCAAGTTGAGAAGCCAAGCTGAGTATTCTTGAGCAATACTGCCGACCCGTGTCATCACAATGATCCGTGGCTTTGTCTTCGCGCTGGTTTGGTCTCAGGCTGCAGCCGGACCCCTGAGCGGTCTGTTGGCAAGCCTGACCGGTCATGACAATGCGACCTGCGCTGACACCCATCACGCTTGCGCTACGAGCTTTGCTGCCTTCTTCCCGGAGCCCGCAGCCACGCATGCGACGGAGCACTTCTTGCCAGACATCTCGAGCTCCTCAGTGGCCGATGCAAGCGCCGCACACCACGATGGGCACATGGATCAGTTCGACTCCTCTTCCTTGTTGACCGGTCGACGTCCCCGGATGTTCGTGAGCTTCGAGAAGAAGTGATGCGCCTGTGTGGCTACTCTCGAAGAACTTCTGGTGAGTGCAATTGCTGCTAGGCTGTGAGAATCAAGCTCAAGCCACAAGTCAGGCAGGGAGCGCTCGCATGCAGAGAACCATCTCATGCTAGCGCCGGCACTGTTGGGCATAGCCAAGGGCAGCCGCAGACTGTGTATTACTGTGTGGGAAGTGAGGAAGGGTGGCTTGTTACAGTATGGTGTTTCTAGTTCCAAATACCGAGCTGACAAGCATCTCGGACGGTTGTTGCGTAACGACTGTGATGCATTCTGAGGCAATCGGAAAAGACTTGACGACAAGAGCTGGGTAACAAGCGACGGCAAGTTCCATAGTTTGACTTGTCTTGTTATCGCTGCTCAGCATGACAGAACGGAAGTATACCTGTGCCGCAGCAAGTTGAGAAGCCAAGCTGAGTATTCTTGAGCAATAGTGCCGACCCGTGTCATCACAATGATCCGTGGCTTTGTCTTCGCGCTGGTTTGGTCTCAGGCTGCAGCCGGACCCCTGAGCGGTCTGTTGGCAAGCCTGACCGGTCATGACAATGCGACCTGCGCTGACACCCATCACGCTTGCGCTACGAGCTTCGCTGCCTTCTTCCCGGAGACCGCAGCCACGCATGCGACGGAGCACTTCTTGCCGGACATCTCGAGCTCCTCAGTGGCAGATGCAAGCGCCGCGCACCACGATGGGCACATGGATCAGTTCGACTCCTCTTCCTTGTTGACCGGTCGACGTCCCCGGATGTTCGTGAGCTTCGAGAAGAAGTGATGCGCCTGTGTGGCTACTCTCGAAGAACTTCCGGTGAGTGCAGTTGCCGCTAGGCTGTGAGAATCAAGCTCAAGCCACGAGTCAGGCAGAGAGCGCTCGCATGCAGAGAACCATCTCATGCTAGCGCTAGCTGCTTTCGGCAGTTGTGCATAGTCCAAGGCAGCCGAAGACTGTGTATTAGTGTGTCGTAAGGTGAGGCGATTTCACCGACGGGTAGCTTGTTATGGTGTTTCTAGTTCCACATTACCGAACTGACAGGCATCTCGGACGTTTGTTGCGTAATGACTCTGATGCATTCTGAGGCAATCGGAAAAAACTTGTCGATAAGAGTTGCATGCGGGTGCTGTTTGAGGGGGAACAAGCGACGGCAAGTTGCATAGCTTGACTTGTCATGTTATCTCTGCTCAGCGTGACAAAATGGAAGTGTACCTGTGCCGCAGCAAGTTGAGAAGCCAAGCTGAGTATTCTTGAGCAATACTGCCGACCCGTGTCATCACAATGATCCGTGGCTTTGTCTTCGTGCTGGTGTGGTCTCAGGCTGCAGCCGGACCCCTGAGCGGTCTGTTGGCAAGCCTGACCGGTCATGACAATGCGACCTGCGCTGACACCCATCACGCTTGCACTACGAGCTTTGCTGCCTTCTTCCCGGAGACCGCAGCCACGCATGCGACGGAGCACTTCTTGCCAGACATCTCGAGCTCCTCAGTGGCAGATGCAAGCGCCGCACACCACGATGGGCACATGGATCAGTTCGACTCCTCTTCCTTGTTGACCGGTCGACGTCCCCGGATGTTCGTGAGCTTCGAGAAGAAGTGATGCGCCTGTGTGGCTACTCTCGAAGAACTTCTGGTGAGTGCAGTTGCTGCTAGGCTGTGAGAATCAAGCTCAAGCCACAAGTCAGGCAGAGAGCGCTCGCATGCAGAGAACCATCTCATGCTAGCGCCAGCGCTGCTTTCGGCAGTTGTGCATAGCCAAAGGCAACCGAAGACTGTGTATTAGTGTGTCGTAAGGTGAGACGATTTCACCAAAGGGTAGACTGTTCTGTTATGGTGTTTCTAGTTCCACATGCCGAAGTGACAGGCATCTCGGACGGTTGTTGCGTAATGACTCTGATGCATTCAGAGGCAAGCGGAAAAGGACTTGTCCACCAGAGTTGCATGCGTGTGCACTTTTTGGTAGGACATGCCAAGACTAAAGTGACTAGGTTGTAGATCACGAGCAGCTGTAAGGCTTGCAGGCTGTTCATGTGACATCGGTTGACTTGCATTGTTATCGCTGCTCTGCATGGCAGAATGCAAGCATACCTGTGCTGCAGCACGTTGATAAGCCAAGCTGAGCATTCTTGAGCAATTGCCGACCCGTGTCATCACAATGATCCGTGGCTTTGTCTTCGTGCTGGTGTGGTCTCAGGCTGCAGCCGGACCCCTGAGTGGTCTGCTGGCAAGCCTGACCGGTCATGACAATGCGACCTGCGCTGACACCCATCACGCTTGCGCTACGAGCTTTGCTGCCTTCTTCCCGGAGACCGCAGCCACGCAGGCGACGGAGCACTTCTTGCCGGACATCTCGAGCTCCTCAGTGGCAGATGCAAGCGCCGCGCACCACGATGGGCACATGGATCAGTTCGACTCCTCTTCCTTGTTGACCGGTCGACGTCCCCGGATGTTCGTGAGCTTCGAGAAGAAGTGATGTGCCTGCGTCGCTACTCTCGAAGAACTTCTGGTGAGTGCAGTTGCCGCTAGGCTGTGAGAATCAAGCTCAAGCCACGAGTCAGGCAGAGAGCGCTCGCATGCACAGAACCATCTCATGCTAGCGCCAGCGCTGCTTTCGGCAGTTGTGCATAGCCAAAGGCAACCGAAGACTGTGTATTAGTGTGTCGTAAGGTGAGACGATTTCACCAAAGGGTAGCCTGTTCTGTTATGGTGTTTCTGGTTCCACATGCCGAACTGACAGGCATCTCGGACGGTTGTTGCGTAATGACTCTGATGCATTCTGAGGCAAGCGGAAAAGGACTTGTCGACCAGAGTTGCACGCGTGTGCACTTTGAGGCAGGACATGCCAAGACTAGAGTGACTAGGTTGTAGATCACGAGCAGCTGTAAGGCTTGCAGGGTGTTCATGTGACATCGGTTGACTTGCGTTGTTATGGCTGCTCTGCATGGCAGAATGCAAGCATACCTCTACTGTGACACTGCCGCAGCACATTGATAAGCCAAGCTGAGTATTCTTGAGCAATAGTGCCGACCCGTGTCATCACAATGATCCGTGGCTTTGTCTTCGCGCTGGTTTGGTCTCAGGCTGCAGCCGGACCCCTGAGTGGTCTGTTGGCAAGCCTGACCGGTCATGACAATGCGACCTGCGCTGACACCCATCACGCTTGCGCTACGAGCTTTGCTGCCTTCTTCCCGGAGACCGCAGCCACGCAGGCGACGGAGCACTTCTTGCCCGACATCTCGAGCTCCTCAGTGGCAGATGCAAGCGCCGCACACCACGATGGGCACATGGATCAGTTCGACTCCTCTTCCTTGTTGACCGGTCGACGTCCCCGGATGTTCGTGAGCTTCGAGAAGAAGTGATGCGCCTGTGTGGCTACTCTCGAAGAACTTCTGGTGAGTGCAGTTGCCGCTAGGCTGTGAGAATCAAGCTCAAGCCACGGTCAGGCAGAGAGCGCTCGCATGCAGAGAACCATCTCATGCTAGCGCCAGCGCTGCTTTCGGCAGTTGTGCATAGCCAAAGACAGCCGAAGACTGTGTATTAGTGTGTCGTAAGGTGAGACGATTTCACCACAGGGTAGCCTGTTCTGTTATGGTGTTTCTAGTTTCAAATTACCGAGCTGACAGGCATCTTGGACGGTTGTTGCGTAATGACTCTGATGCATTCAGAGGCAAGCGGAAAAGGACTTGTCCACCAGAGTTGCATGCGTGTGCACTTTGAGGCAGGACATGCCAAGACTGGATTCTAGATCACGAGTAGCTGCAAGGCCTGCAGCGTGTCCATGCTACGTTATTAAGACTTGTTTTGCTATGGCAGCTCATCGTGTCAGACAGAACGGCAGCATACCTGTGCCGCAGCACGTTGAGAAGCCAAGCTGAGTATTCTTGAGCAATAGTGCCGACCCGTGTCATCACAATGATCCGTGGCTTTGTCTTCGCGCTGGTTTTGTCTCAGGCTGCAGCCGGACCCCTGAGTGGTCTGTTGGCAAGCCTGACCGGTCATGACAATGCGACCTGCGCTGACACCCATCACGCTTGCGCTACGAGCTTCGCTGCCTTCTTCCCGGAGACCGCAGCCACGCATGCGACGGAGCACTTCTTGCCGGACATCTCGAGCTCCTCAGTGGCAGATGCAAGCGCCGCACACCACGATGGGCACATGGATCAGTTCGACTCCTCTTCCTTGTTGACCGGTCGACGTCCCCGGATGTTCGTGAGCTTCGAGAAGAAGTGATGCGGCTTTGCGGCTACCCCGCTACCCTCGAAGAAATGCTGCTGAGTGCAATGCTGTGGCTGTGAGGGAATCAAGCTCAAGCCGTAGCTTAGTCAGAGGGTCTGCATGCAGAGAGACATCTCGCTTGAGTGCCAGTGCTGCGTATCAAGATTGCCGAACAGAAGTTGTGCTATCCCAGAGTAGCAATGATAAGAATTCTGCTGATGATTCTGGTGCTCCTCGTTCCAATGTGGCAGGCTTCTTTGAAGCCCGGTGGGACCTGTATAGTGGCGACTGAAAAGAGTCGACATGTGGAGGCCATGCGCAGGCTCAGGCGATGAGAGGCGAAGCAGTCGCGAAGCTGAAGTATAGGGCACGCGAACTCACCGTTCCCGCAGCTAGTTGGCAAGCCAAATTGCGTAGCCTTGAGCAATCCCTGTCATTCGTGTCCACAGCCTGTCATCACAATGATCCGTGGCTTTGTCTTCGCCCTGGTGTGCTCTCAGGTTGCAGCCGGACCCCTGAGTGGTCTGTTGGCAAGCCTGACCGGTCATGACAATGCGACCTGCGCTGACACCCATCACGCTTGCGCTACGAGCTTTGCGGCCTTCTTCCCGGAGACCGCAGCCACGCATGCGACGGAGCACTTCTTGCCGGACATCTCGAGCTCCTCAGTGGCAGATGCAAGCGCCGCACACCACGATGGGCACATGGATCAGTTCGACTCCTCTTCCTTGTTGACCGGTCGACGTCCCCGGATGTTCGTGAGCTTCGAGAAGAAGTGATGCGGCTGTCCTCCAAGAACTGTTGTGTGTGAGGGGATCACGCCACTGAGCCAGCTCATGGCGATGGTTCGCACATGTTCACACCCTTGAGAGCAGCGGAGCTGTTCTGGCCATGTGGCCACGTGGCGCTTCGTGAAGCAAGGCAGCCGATGGCACACGTGGAACAAGGGCATCGAGATGCAACCCTCAACCCTAAAGCCTATACCCCTCGACTCAATAACATTAGGCCATCTGCTGGAACTTCGCCTTTCAGTGCCGAAGGTCCCTTTCTTTCGCCCAGTTGCCCCCCCAAGAGCCAGGCTCCGCGCTGGCGGTCCTACAGCCGGCTGCCCATGGCAAGCGTCGGGCTTAAGGGGCTAAAGGGGTTGAGCCTGAACCGTTGAGGGGTTTAGTTGTGTGTGTTTTTTTAAAGGTTTGTTTTTTATTCTTTCGTTGCCAGTGGCGGACTTATTTGTTGGTACCGTTTGAGGTTGAGTCGCTTGGTAGTTCCTTGATTGCGGATGCTTGTCTGGCGGTGCCGGGTGCCAGAGTCGAAGCGCCCAAAACTCATAGGCCCACCCTAGACCATCCTCCACCTTAACCCGTTAATAGTCCTAAATACTCGCCCCAGAGCTTGGCAAGCTTTTTCGAGGCCGCTGTGCCGCAGGCATTTGCTGCAAAGGAGGGGCTGGAGCAGCAGCAGGTGCACAGTCGCAAGGAAGCGAACCAAGGGTGAACATCACGGTGTGGGGTAGCTTTCATGTATGTGGTAGCAGCAGATGAAGCCTGAATTCACAAACGGTTTACCTTTTTTGTTGGGTTTGCGCATTTCCAGGCGAGGATTAAACGGGCGATCGCGGGTTTCTTTCTGGGTTTGCAAGGATCAGCGATGACAGGAATCGTTCTGCGCGGCATCTCTTCTCTGCACGGCGGCCAGACGTGAAGTTGTGCAAGCCAACATATATCAGCCAATCAGACTTTTGCACATACCTGGCCTGGACTGTCCGAATCTGGGCGTCAACACACTGCATGTCCCGAAATCTAAGCCCTAAACCTCTAAGCGCACAGCCCTAAAACCTGAGCCTCGGAATCCTTTCCTGAACCTCTAAACCAATAAACCCCAAACCCGAAACCCCCAAACCCGAAACACACGATCTCCCAGCCAATCAGTCATACCTTGCCGGGTCCGTCCGAGTGTGAGCGCCCGAACCCAGTCGAAGCTTGGACCCTTAATCCTTAATTTGGGACCCGAGACTACCAAAGGCTACAAAACACCAAACCCCAAAATACCCCATACTACCAAAGGGTACTAAACCCGAGACCCTTTGCGGGAACCTCCTTAAGGGATCTTCGTGCAGGCCAGCTCCTGGTGGCGGGCGGCTTCGACTTCTCTCAAGAAGAGTCCCTGGCCTCCTGCGAGGTCTAAGGGGGAGGGGGCCCGAGGGATCTGTCCGGAAACCGAAGTGAGAACCCACTAATGCAGACGGCCTTGATAGTTAGAATAGGGTGTTGGGGCCCATGAAACTATAGTAATTATAAAGGCTTTGTGTTAGGGACACGGAGAAGATGATACTTGCTGGAGGAAGCGGGCGGCGGCGGTGGTGGTGCTGGTGCTGTTGCTGCCGCTGCTATCGTGCTGCGTGATGAAGATATTGACAGTAGTGGCAGTGGCGATCGGTAGCGATCGTTGTTGCACCAGAAAATGGTGACAGGCACAGAGGTGGTGGTCGGAACGTGCAGACTCGGGGCGAGTCTCTCAATCAGTCCCCGGCCCTTGTTGTACAGTATCCTAAGTGCTTTTGACAACGGCCGTATGCCTTGCTGTTGAAATCGGCGCCAGTCCATCGATATTGCCGACCTGCTGGCCGAACGTCCAGCGGTGCAGGCCTGGAAGAGTGCCAGCCACGACGGCTTTGGAGAACGGTTCGTGCGAAGTGCCACTTTGAGTGAGGCATGCCCTTCCTTGCAGCATGCCAGGGTGCAAGCCCCGGAGGGTTGTTGAGTTCCATCTGCCACCTGCCCAGACATTGATTCAATCTTCCATGCTGGCGAGGCTTGCCCGGGTCTTGCTGCAGCCTCCGAGGCGCTTCTTGTGATCTTCGAAGGGTTTATACTGGAAAAGTGTCACCTGACGGGTTGTTGACCTTGAGTCGCACAGTTTGCAGGCGGTGCTTGCCGTGGGTGGCGGAAGCAGCATGTTCACTGCGGCAGAGGCGGGCATCTGCACGAGCGAATGGGGCGTCACTCTTCGACACTGCCTGGCCATGTTGTCAATTTTTCAGTCTAGCTCCTCCTGCAGGCATTTCGCAGCGTCGAGGTGCTTCGCACGGCTGCGACGAAGGCCCTGTCTGCGGATAGCATCCTAAGCCCTAAGAAGTGCTGATCTGTGTATTCTTCTGTCATTCCTTGCCTGCCGCCCAGTGGCAATATGGTCCAACTTTGCAGAGGCCGCACCTTCTGCTTTTGCTTACCACTGCAGTTGATGTTTTGTGGATCTGGGCAGCCTTGTCTTTGGGAGGCCTCGCTGTGCGGCCGGGGTTTGCGTGGCTCGGGCATAAACGCTGCGGGATCAAGTTTCGGCCAAAGATTCCCCGGAGTGGAGACTTAGGTTACCTCTGCCGGGCACGTTTACGCGATCAGCGGCTATGCGGGCAATGACTGCTACGAGGACGTGCTGGATAGCCTGGATACAGGCACATTCTGCCTTTGGGCGCCCTGTTCCAAGGAGTCCGTGGAGTGGGCAGACGGTAGCTCCGAGGGCCTGCTGCGCGGGTGGTTCCCCGGTCCTGCGCTTTCACAAGCTTCTCGGTAGCAGGGTGCCGGAGCAAGAAGAAGAAAGAAAGAAAGAGACGCTTTGTTTGACCCAGCCTCCTTGGGCTCCGAAGGCGCGTGCAGGCTGCGCAGCCTGCTTCGGCCCAGATGGCCGTGCTCCAGGCTCAGCTCTGGCAGCGACCAGCTCTCCGTGGCGAAAGGTCCACCGTTGCTTTCTTGCCGAGCGAGGTCTGGGTCCTGGGGGGTGGCTGCGACGAGTCTGCAAGCCTTGCACGGGCCTCAAACGTAGGAGTAATGCACATGTGCACACGTTGAAAGCAGCGAGTGAAGGACACCGTGGAATGCCTTGACCCTCGCGAAGGTCGCTGGTGTCAGGCTCCAGCCGAGCAGCAAGCAATGCTGCACAGCATCAAAGCAAGTACTATGCGTAGAAGTTGCAACTTGCAGGTATCAGTTAAAGAGTTCAAAGTCTGAGTGCACAATTGACTATTGAGACCATGCACACCAGATCACACCAGTACATGATAAGCATGTGCAAGACGTCAGCAATCATGCTGGGGGCCCGCCCAATTTGAAAGTGCAGTTGTGCCGAGGAGTGTTAGTCTTCCGACTTCCGCCCCATAATTGGACCCAGCACGGCAGATGCACACTTCATTGGAAGTGCCCTACGTGTGCACCTAGAACTGCCCAGATTTTAGGCTCTCCAATGCACGAATGTTGAAGAGCCCGAAGAAGCGATAAGCACGTGCTTGATTTAGGTGCGCAGGCACCGAAGCTCCCCCGGTGTTCAGGGGAGGCTTGTCCGAAGTCCCGGTGAAGGCTCCTTGCATGCCTGGGCGGCGGCGGTGCTTTGCGGCAAGCTTCGGCATCGATCGCCACTCCGGCTGAGATGGGCAAGTTCAGCCCACGCCTGTTCTTCCATGTCTGCGCCCGAGGCAAGTTGTACATCTACGGTACACCCTGCCCGTTTTGTGCCGCCTCAGCTTCCCACTCTGAGTTGGCAAGTGCCAGGCGGCTGGAACCGCGAGCGCTGGCACGAAGACAGCGCCGCCCGCCTGGACTTGCGAAACCTCCGCCTGGTCCTGAGAGAACTCGTCTCACTTGTGGACCAGCAACGTTTGCTGCAACCATGGAAGGATGGGAGACCCTTCCGTCACCGGTGTCCGAGGCCCGCTGTTCCCATTTGTCACTCCACTTTCCGAGTTTCAGCCAGTCCGTAAGACAAGCTTGTGCGGGTTTGCGAGGCGCCAGCCCAGGCGAACAGTGTCATCCCCTATCACTTCGTGAGTGGCTGTACAGCGTTGTAGACCGTGCCATGCAATCTGGATGGTTTGGGAAGTTTCTTTGTGTGTGGGAGCCCTGACAGTACCTGTTTCTTTGGAAGTCCAGATGAGCATGGGCTGTGCCAACTGTCTTAGCCTGTGATGAGGTGCCTCTTGCTTTGATACCGGCAAGGCATGTAGGCACCTCGCCACTTGTTCAATACTAGGGTAGGAAACCAGGGCTGCGACATGGCCTTGAAGCGGTGTTCCGGTCGATTCATATCTTGTGGAGCATTCTTAGGAGCTTCTAAGTCTGCTCCGACAGACCTCGTGTTCGATCCACATTGAACGCATGTATGGCGTCAGCCTTGGTTCCAGCCGGCTTGTGCAACTTATGACAGCGACGGTCTTCGCCGTCTCGCCAAAGGCGATCGAAGAACCGAATGGTGTGACAAATCTAGTTGACCGGTCACGTGGCCCATGCGCTTGGACTGCCGTCCCCCGCTCGTGTTGACATTCGGCAAGGCTTGTCGGGTTGAAACCTGCAGTGTGGTTGAGGTTTGCAGACTCGGAAGGCTGCCGCAGTGGACTAAAACTTCAGTGTAAACCGTAGCGCCATGATGCTGCCGCGATGCATACAACATGTACTTGCCATGTACTTGCGCACATCAACTCACAGAGAAATCAGACAGCTCGACCCTTGCGCTCCTAAGTTGCCAGCAATCGTTGGCACAAACCAATTGTTTTCAGATGGAGCCATGAGCAGCAGCTCGTCCCCATCCTTGGCGAGGCCCAGAACGGACGAGATTTCGGTCTCGTTGTGGACATGTCTCTCTGAGTCCGGCTGCGTTCACAGCAGGGCTACTAGTGAGTTGCAAGTGTCGTCAAATTGGAATTCGGTTTCGTTTTCAGGCCATTCGCGGATTTGCCACATGGGGCCACCCCGCCTTTGTCCCGAAGAGGCCGCGTGGTTGTGGTCCCAGTTGCGCTCAGGCATGCTAGAATGCCTGCTTTGGCTTACCTTTGGTTAGTAGGGAATGGAGGAATGGGGTAACAATTATAACTACTAGTACTTCCATTCTTCCATTCCCTACTAACCAAAGGTAAGTTTGGCGGCAGGTGAAGGCCACCTTCTTGGAGGACCTCTTGGCTCCACGGGATACCCTCCTCGGCATGTGCTGACCTCCCCGCGCAAGGGTCCAGGCTGGGAGTTCTCTCGGAATGATATCATATACAATATCAATGTAACATGTACATATATGTATATATATATATATGTATATATATATATATATATATACGTATGTATGTATGTATGGATCAACTGCAGCAAGTCGCCCGGTACAGGTGACGTTCGTTTTGGGGGACCTCTTGGTGCCACCATGGGTGCCACCATCTACACGCCCCGACAAGTCCTCGTTTCCCCGCGGCTCACCCCACGAATGCCAGCAGGCAGGGAGAGGGAGGAACCGGTTGTTTTGGGACAGCATGTGCCATTCTGCGATGCGCCATGTTAGTACACACATTACGGTACAGAGGTTTCTGGGCACTTGGGTGCTGGAAGAGCCAGACTTGCCAGGGGCCACGAGTGTGATCGCCTATGCGCCCGGCTTGCCCAGTAGCTTCATCCCAGTGGCGCCGGCTCCAAAGGTCCTGCCCCGAGATGGCCTTGGACGGTCTTGGGTTGTTGGGTTTTGAGATGTTTCGGTGTCGGTTCCAAATGATAGGGGCATGACCAGTGCAATGGTGTGGGTTGTGCAGACGCTTGTCATGCGCGTTTTTTGCGAAGGTGTCTCGGCCTGTGGAAGTTGCGGTGCGCAAGCAAACGCCGCGCTTCATTCGTGTTTCGGCACGGTCGCAGGAGCAGCGGATTGCAGCAGGGAAGTCAAATGCTGCTGCGAGTTCAATAACTTCGAAGAGGAGGGTTCAGCTCTGCAGGAGCGGATTCTGCCAATTTCACGCGAAATGACAGCTGCAGCGCCTGCAGCAGCGTCTGCGGCAGCGCCTGCAGCAGCGCCTGCTGCAGCTACGGATGGAGCAGCACGAGAGGACCAGCGCTTCAAAGCCATGTGCTAATCATTAGAGGTTCTGGGTCATGCAGGTTGAACTCGAGGCTTTTCCGAAGCAAGCCGACGCGGCTCGGGCCCCTCATCTTTGACCTTTCTTGTTTGTGCACCTAGCCGCCCGTCAACTTCAGGCTTCTCACGTGGCATCGCCCCGATCGCCCCATGCTGTTGCGGCTTGGTTCCAAGCACTATGCAGTGTAGAACGTCAGCTGCAGCATGCTTCTAACTGCGGTGAACTCCCTCAGACCTGGATGCAGCCTCGCTTTGGTACAGCATCCTTGCATCGGGGTAAGAAGCAACACTCCAACGGGATACCCAGCCCCAGCCCGAAGCCCAAAAGCTTGCATGTGGTATCAGGCAGTCACGAGTCCCTGAACCGAAGCTCAGAGAAATTTTTACGACAGGCTCATGCAAAACCAAAACCTGAGAATCCTGCAGTCCGTAGTTTCTGGCCTGCAGCGTTGAAGGTCTCCTTCAGCGCTAGCATCAAATTCACGAGACAGTTCATGGTCTCAACGAATGTTGCAATCCGGCGGCCACTGCTAGTACTAGAATACAGATTCCATGTTTTCAAGGGGCACCTCACAGCTCCCACAGACATGGAAATTGGCTTGAGTCGCGGCCTGTGTCCTTGCCTTTGCTCGCACGCTTCTTCTGGTCTCTATCTATCGTTGGGGCTCCAAGCTATGACCGAGCACCCTCTATGATCCTTTTGATGCCTTCGAAGCAGGCCCTTGAAGCGGCGTCACCTCCTGGCCTGGAAGCTTCGCCTCGGGACCCTGTGGCTGCAGTTTTGAGCTCTCTTGCACATCCTTCCGTTGTCCATGTCTCACAGACCAGTGCAACTCTCTGCCGTCTGCGGTAGTGCTAGAAATCGATGAGTAGAAACTTGGTGCCTTCGACTGCCATATCCATCATGATGCAGGACCAGCTGTACCATCCGCCTCTTGCTCATGCTCCTCGGAGTTGTGAACGTAGCAGTACGTGCGACTGCAACCCGGCGTCGGGCGCGCCCCAGGCAGCCTCAGACATCCAAGCTTCTCCCATGGTGCGACAGCGTACTCTTCCGGGCTACCTTGGACAAGCCGTGCAGCCACAAATGCCTCCCGAAAGGCACCGCTCTGCATGTTGAGCTTGAGGGCGGAGCACAGAGAACAATGACCGCTTGAGAAGGCAAAGCAGTATCGCTGTCATCACTACCATCACTGCCCCAAGTTATGCTGTCGCTGCTGCCGGCTCAGTCTTGTTTCCTTCGTCAAGAGAGGCAATGCGGCATCGGCACAGCTGCTTTTCTCAAAACATCCCTGGGTTGAGGTCCCACGGCCATCTTCTGTAGGTCGAGGGTGCTTGGCTCGGAGTCTCCCAGGATCAAAGCAAGTGGCCTCTTCGCGATCTCGCGAGGTCACTGGGCCGAGCACCTCGAGCTCCTGAGCTGACATCGGACAGGAGCCCGCTGCGTCCGTTTTGTCCGCTGCGTGTCCCCTCCGATGCAGGCCTCCGGCTCGCGCAGTGGGAGAGGCCGGGAACCAGGTGCTTTGGGAGCGGGCGTGGAGCCTCCTCCCTGCATCCAGGCCCTGCGCGCCGACAGCCGCCGACGCTGGCGACGACCTGCACCCACCCATGCACCCGGAACGCCTGGAGTTGCGCCACATGTGCCTGGAGCGCCGGTGGCCGCTGCACGGGTGCATGGTCCATGCCATGGTCGTACGTCATGGTCTGGAACGCCACCTGCATCTGCGCCGGTGTCCGCTCCGCCAGCACAGAGTCGTCAAGGAGAAGGTCCCTCGTTTGCAAGCGCTGGGCGCAGGGAGATGAGCTTATAGTATAGTAGAAGAATCAATACATAATATAATGTAATATGATGCTGAAGACAGCGACTTTGCGGATTTGGGGACGACTGAACTCCAAGGCGATTTCACACCGGCCTTCTTCAGGCAAGTTCCGAAGACACGCCTTGGAAGAGAGACCCTCCCAAAGTTGTCAAAACTGCAGGCTTCAAGAGAAGCTGAGCTATTTGGCCGAGGAGGCTCGAATCGGCATTTCTCTGGGCCAGCTTTCGGAGCGACAGAGCTTGCTCTGCAGGGAACGGTCTCGCTTTAAACGCTGGCGGCTTCGCACGGAGACCCTGAAGACCGAGAGGTTCAGTGGCCGCTCGGCTGACATTGGTTCCGGAGAACATGTGGAGGCCGTTGGAAATAATGGGCACTTCCAGGATCCTTCTCATGAGGAGAAGCCGCATCACGTGAAGCTTTGTCTTGAAGGGAATAAGAAAGAACCTCGGATGTGCTACGGGTGCCTCCTGTGTGCGAGCCTCAGGCCGTGTACGAGCACTGCTGACGGCTTGCGCTTGAAGGCCTCGATCCGCCTAGATCCCGCATTTAGCCTATTTATCTGGCATATCCCAACTTCAGGGTTTTTGTTTAGGTTCTGTTTTTGGATCCCCATACTCTTTCCGCTGCTCGAGTGTCTGTCACAGGCGCAGTTGGCTTCAAGGTGGACCCTGACCTGGAGACTGTCGCGTGTGAGAGCCGGCCGACACTTGCCTCGCCTCCCGTGCGGAACTTCGGGAAACTGCAAAGAGTGCAGACGGCCTCGGAGAAGCTGCTTTGAGCAGAGGAAAAGGTGCGTACTTCAGCTACTTACATGGCTGACAGTAGCCAGACTGGATGATTGCATGATGGTTGGACTTCGCTGGAATCCACGTTCTGCAAGGGGGCCTAGGGTTCTGTGGAGTGTCCATTGGCGAGAAATGGCGGGAGGACTCGTGGAACAGCAATTTCACGCTTGGAACAGCATTGCTGGAAGTTTATCCCACGGCAGCCCATCCAATTAAAGCTGCAAGCTTTTTTGGTTTTGCACACGCTTGCGGCGTCGATCGCCTCCGGCGCTGACATGTTCTTCGACAAGATGCAGTGGGGGCTTTGACATGTACTAGACAGGCAGGATCAAAAGGTCGGGCAAATGCGATGTCGACATATGCCACAAGTATCCACAAGATTTTCCGGGAGCAAGCGAATATACACGAACTTGAATTCAAGATGTCATTGCCTGTCGTATACTTCGTATCAGACCCACCCAGTGGAAGAACAGTCGTGTAGATACACATTGAAAGAATGCACACATGATCTCATGCATGCATGCCCACGTACATCTATCCATCCATCCAGCCATCCCTCCATCCCTCCATCCCTCCATCCCTCCATCCCTCCATCCCTCCATCCCTCCATCCCTCCATCATCCATCTTCCGTCACCCATCGCCCATCACCCATCAACCATCGTCCATCATCCATGATCCATCATCCATGATCCATCATCCATCCATCCATCCCTCCCTCCCTCCCTCCCTCCCTTTATCCATCCATCCATGCATGCATGCATGCATGCATGCATGCATCCGCGCCCCAGCCCATGAGCTGAGGCCGCGTTCATGCCACTCTCGATGACCCAGGCGGTGCCCACGAGGGCCGCGCCCGCGCCAATCCTCCAGCCGCCGCGCCCACGGCGCCCGCCGTCGCCAGGGCTCCCTGCTGCATACGGCTGCCTCGGGTGTCCCGTCATGCGGCCTTGGGTTTGCTGGGTAGTTGGAGGCGCCTGGGAGCAAAGGGGCCACAGCGGCATTGACAGAGTCTGGGCTCAAGCTTTTCCTTTGGTGACAGGAGGACAATGGCCACAGCCTGGGCTTTAGTCTGCTTTCAAGGATTGCACGCCTATGGACTGCAGCATCTTGGCCAGCGGTCTGGGTACTGTAGCTGGCCAAGGAACTCCAGTCGCCCATGGTCAGTCGCCCATGGTGAGGTATGGGCGAAGGTGGTTGACCGCTGGCCGCTGTTGACCAACTTGGTAGTGGACAAATTCTGGATGGTGTCCAGAATGGTGGCTTTCATGGCTTCAGGGAGGCAGGAAGCTTCAGCAATTGGCGGATGGCTTCCGATGACCAAGACATACCAAGACTGTTAACCATTGATTTTGGTATCCAAGTTTTCGGCCATGGACGACAGTGTCACTGTTGCTGGGGGTCATCTTGCACAAGTTCTGCAGATGGTCCAGCTCCTGGATGAGATCCTGGCAGCCGTAACGCTGCATGATTATTTCTCTGGCTCAAGCACTGGCTGCTAGCGGGCCAGAATGGCAACAGAACAAAGCCTGACAAACGTGGTCTCCAGGCATGGGGAACATGACGTGGCATCGCTAGGAGGCTTCAAAGCATCATCCAGCAGAAGACGGCGCGAACAACATGGAATAATAATGCTGCGCAACTTGCAAATGATGTATGCTGTCTGTTTTGCTGGGTGGCTTCTTGGGTGCTGCTTCTTCGAGGAGTTCGTTGGCTGGCATACCGGGCCTCCCTCTCCGTCAGCAAGTTCTGGAGTGCAGCCGGAATGGACAGACTGGAGTTCACCTGTGGCTTCCTGCCCGTCAGCAACTGGACGATGCGTTGTGACCTTGGCCTGTTGTCGTTGGAGGTCCGCGGCAGGTGTTTGGGAATCAAGATTGGGCTTTCCTCCTGGAGCCCGATGGGCGCAGAAACACGAGTTTCAAGTTACATGGGCTGGCAGTGGCAGGGAGTGAGCTGCTGGACAGAGGGAATGCAACGCTCAAATCTCGACACGGCCACGGGCCCGCGCTACGGTGCTGTGCGTCGACGCTGTCGGTTCCTGCCCCGCCCGAGCATCAGGGGCATCACCTATCGAAACCGTTGCACCAGTCCATGCCCATTGGCATAGCCAGCATCCGTGTGAATGTGGATGTCGTTGTGTGCGACACATCCCGGAGGCGTGGTCCAATCCACTCAAGTTAGCCTGCATCTCCTCTTCGATGGCGTGTTGCTCCTGCTGAAAGGTAGCTATGTGACTTTTCGCTCTTCCCTTGAATTCCTCATCTGCTGGCTGCGCCGCAACTACGTTAGCTTGGGCTTGTCCGCAACAATGGTTCCTAGCTCCAGCGGATCGGATCTGGACCTGTGTCCTCTGGGAGCGTGTCCGCTCGACTCTGGCCAAACGTAGCGAAAACCTCCAGCGATTCCTGTGCCGCTCTCGGCCACGTTCACTGTTTGATGATCTTTTCCATGTTCTCGGAGTTACTATCCGGACCGTGAAGCTTATCCTCCACAGTGAGAATGCCGGATGGCTGATGCTTCGGTGAAAGCCTCACTGTCCCTCGGGCGCGACCACAAGCCGCGCAGTCCTTGTCATACCATCCGGCATGACACTTCTTCTTGAGGACTTTTGGTGCTTGCTTCTACGCCACCAACTCATTGCTCGCTGGCTGCACACCCTGCAGTTCCGCAGTGCCTGCCGCCGTGGTTGCGCTGCGCGTGCAGCCTCGGTACCACACGGGCGCTTGGTTGCTCTCTAGGTTAAGCCTAGTTAGGTGGTCCTCGCAGGCGGGCAGCTTCCCCTAGCCAGTGTCGCGCAGCTGCACTCACACTGCCTTCTCCGCCGCGGCACCTCTGCAAGCCCCGGCCGGTGGCGGCAGGATATTTTCCCGAACCCGTTTCACATCGCTACCCGTTGCAGTGCCGCCCGGAGCGCCGCCCAGCGGCAGCCCAGGTGCCATGGGAGCTTGAGCCATCTTGAGCCTGCTTTTTTCCGTCGCGGCATGTCGCGGCCTCAGCTTGTTTCCAAACGTTTGGTTTTGCTTGCCGTGTGCGCGCTTGCTCGCTGGCACCTAGGTTCGTAATTCAAATTCCAGTGTTTTTAATTTCCTGTGGCTCCCCACGGCGTGGTGTGATATCATTTGCAATCCTTGTCCCCGGAATCGGAAGGTCGCCAGCCCTGGTTTTTGCGCTTTCAGAGCCACGTTCAGCTGTTCCCAGCACGAACGGGGCTCCGCCCAACCCTGTCGCGGTGGTATGGCGTCCGCGCCCGTGCCCGACATGTGCCGACCACGTCGGCCCACCGCAGCCGCACGTGCTCGCTGCGCAGCGGCTTCCAAAAGTTCGTCCTCGCTGCCGCCTGCGGCAGAGGCGCCGGGATGGATCTGTGGGGTGCGTGCGTGCCAGGCCGCCCAAGGCTTGCCGCGCTGCCGGGTGCAGCTGCTGATTTCAAGAACGCCCCAAGCCTGGGCTCTTTACGGATCTGTTTCACGCTTAGCCACATCAACATGACCTGCTGCTACATCAGCCTGCGGAGCTTGATTTGGCTGTTGCTGACCAACAGGTTACCGATCTCCGCTTGCCCTGCACCGTCGACGCCGTGCGCTGTATCCATAGTTCCATTCTGTGCATATGTCGCGCCACGCCCCTTCGCCGCCTTCGTCCCCCGCCTCCGCGATGACCGTGCCGGACAGCTTGACCAGACACCCCTTGAGCACGCCCTCGCGCCTCTGTGTCAGGCGCCGGCGCTGCCCTTCAGGCTTTGCGCAGTGACGTGACCCCTGAGTTTGCTACCCCAGCAGCGGCCGCGTGCTCGGTCTGCCTCCTCGCGCCCTCGTCGGAGCCCGAGGCTGGAGACAGTGCTTTTCCGTGCTGCAATGCGTTCACGCATCTCGCCTGCCTCGTGCGATGCGCACACGCACATGGTACGTGCCCTACTTGCCGAGCTGCCATAGACCATCTCCCGCGCGAGCCGGATGGTCGCACGGTGCCAAGCGCTTGGTATCGATAAACTCCCCGCTGATGGCCCCGCGCTCGACACAACCTTCGCCGTTGTGCGCGACTACTCCGTGCGCATCCGTGCGCACCTTCTCACGGGTGGATGCGGCCGAGCCGCGTGAACCAGCGCTCATCCGGGCTACATGCTGCAATCGCCTCGCGGGGCTCGTGCTCGACTTGGCTGAACTGCCCGACGCCCGCACGCACTGCCCCGCTTCCCCGCAGAGGAACACATGGCATTGAGGCCTGGCACCCGCAGTGGTTGTGCATGCGGTGCCACAACGAGCTCCCGTTCGTGCGCATTCCGAGCCCAACGCCCATGTGCCCCGTGTGTTTCACGCCAATGCTTTGGGAGGTGGACGTCGCAAGGCATCACGAACGGTGGGTCTGTTGCCGTCGCCCGTTTGCGCATACAGCAAGGCCGTTCGTCCCACATGCCGTGCACCCGACTTGGCCAGCCAACAGCCCGCCAATCCCTCGGCACAGGGAAATGAGGACGCCGCTGCGCCTGCACCGGCGCCTGCGCTGGTCCAATACACCACCAGTGCTCCCCCACTCCTACCCCTGCGCGAAGGCACCAGCTCTGCGCTGTACGTGCCTTTGCTACTTGACGCGGCAGGCTTGCTCACGGCACAGGCGCAGCTCGCCTGGCGCTCACGCGCTCCCATCAGCGAGTGGTGGCCTGCCGCGGTCGAGGCGCTGCGGGCTCGCCCCTTCATCCCCGTCGACGAGCTCAAGCAAGCACTTGAGCACGTTGCTCTCGCTTTCGCGCCCCCGGTCCCGCAATCGCGTTCGGTTCAACGTTTCCGGGCCTGGGCCGGAGCAGGGGCTGGTCAAGTCGCCTCCCTATCCAAATTGCTACGCGCGATAGCCGTGCTGCTGGCCGCAATCAGCGAATGGATTTATTTCAAACGTTAATTCCGTCAGCTCGCCGGTGCCTCGGCTTTAGTTTGAGTTGCCCTGCACTTGCGTTGAGCCCGCCAGCCGAACCTTGCAGCCGCAGGTGCCGCTGCTCGC